AAAAAAAATACAAAAAATTCCACTGATTCTTGAAGTGAATCTATCGTAAAAATACTATAAATCATGATAATTGACAACATAAAATATTTCAAAAATGTTGTATGTGGGTAGTCTTATTATGCCTTAAATAGCGTCAAAGAAAGTACAAGTTTGTGATAAAAAAACTTATTCTTTTATCCACGCAAACAATCGCTTCAAAAACTCGGTTATTAGCCCCAAAATATACCATTTATATTATTGGGCCCACATTATCTAGTATTAACACAAAAATCACATAACTTTGACATCTTTTTTCTTTTTCTTTTTCAAAAAAATCTAATACTTAAAAAATCAATTTAAAAATTCAGACCTGAGCAAAAACCCATTGTGAGAGAAAGTAAATGACCCTTCATATTTTTCATTTTAAGTTTCTAGGTACCCAAGTCAACTATCTCTCTGTCTCATATTAAATACTCATCTTATTAAAAATATTTCTTTTATTACTTTATTACTTACTAAATTCAGAGGCGTATTCAAGATGTCAAGATGATGGATATACTATTATGAAAAAGTGAATCTAATTAGTTTGACATTTACGTTCTTATCATTGAAAACATATATTATCATTTAACAAAAAATATATGATTTCGAGAGGGGATCACGGGTTCACGTGAATCCAGTGATCCCTCCTGCATACGCTTCTGACTAAATCAGGATAGAATTAAATTATTTTATTTTATTTTAGCCCTACAATTAATATGATGTTTGAAAGTTTAAACAAATTTTAAAGATAGGAAAAAATAAAAATGAAGAGGGTGAAAGAATGTAGCAGAAAGGTGAATGAATTCTTGGTGATTATATGACACAAGAAAAAATCTTACTGAGAGAAAAAAAGAGTAGGAAATTATAGACTTGTCTGACTCCAATGGTGAATGTGATTGCTGACGAGGTTTGAATTATTCTACTCTGAAATTATCAATTAGATGATTCCTAGTCAACGGATTATAAAGGACACCACATGATCACTGAATGTCCACAAGTTTGAACAGTGTATTGTAGCTCATCTCTTCATGGTGAACACCACTGGGAAATCAGATTAATGGGAGTTGAGTGAACCACTAGTGGCCTTACTACTTAAGTATGAAATAGTCTATAATGAACCTAAGGCCTTACCACCAATCAGAGCAATGGATCATTCCATTCCGCTGAAACCAGGAGGTTTGCGTGTGAGTCTAAGGCCCTACAGGTATAACCATTACTAGAAGGAAGAGATGGAAAAATAGGTTAAGGAGATACTTGGGACTAGGATTATTCGGCACATAGCCAGTCTCCAGTTTTTTCTCCTGTCCTCTTAGTGAAGAAGAAGGATGAAACATGGAGGTTTTGTGTGGACTATAGAGGCTTGAATGAGATCACTGTGAGATAAATATCCAATTCCTATTGGATGAGCTTCATGGAGCTGCTCTCTCCTCCAAAATTGACTTGAGTGAAGGATACCATCAGATAGGATGAAGCCTGAAGATGTGCATAAGACAGCATTTAGAACTCACATGGGACACTATGAGTTCAGAGTCATGCCATTTGGACTCACCAATGCTCCTGGACCTTCAAGCACTGATGAATTATATCTTCAACCTTCAAGTTTTGGCCATGATAGACTGGCCTACACCCAAAACTGTCAGAGCTCTCATGGGATTTATGGGGCTTATTGGTTAATACAGTAAGTATGTTGAAAATTATGGGACCATATGCAGGCCTTTGACTGGCCTGCTCAAGAAGGATGCCTTCCGCTGGAACTCTACAGCTGATGAAGCCTTTGAGCAGTTCAAGCAAACAATGTCCACCACACCTGTTCTGTCCCTGCCTGATTATTCTCAGGAGGTTTATGGTACACTCACTCCTCAGACTTTACAATTCAAGGGTTCAACCCTAGAATGATGTTCTTCAACATACAAACCAACACCTTTAATTTACTCATATTTATCCACAATTCACCTAATAACCACCATAAGTGATCAAAGATCTTTCCTTTTGAAGTTTCCTCAAAATTCCTGCTCAATTGATCTTAGGTTGATTTTCAAAAATCTAGGGATTTGGATGATAGCTCGGTGTTAATCTCTTGTTAGAATGATACAATAATCTTAGGAATGGACTAGGAATTCAACTTAGATGATTGTGGAAGCCCCAGGACATTTTTCTCCTCAAGGGGTAATGTCATGAGCTGAACAAGCAACCGAGTGAAGAAAAAAGAAACAAATTGTAACACAAGGAAATGACTCACATTAGCTTTGAATTATTGAGCGTGGATGATTGTGATCAACTGGCGAGACTTATAACAAACTTCCAGAAATGAGCTACAGGAATAACTAATTTTTGGTATCAGTTACCTCTCCTCTCTCTCTCAATATCTTCTCCCCTTTTCTGTCTTTTTCCTCCTCTCATTACTTCTTCTCTCTCTTCTTCCTGGTATAACATTCATGGAGATTATGCCGTATCTACCTAGATATACTTTTAGTTCTATTTTCAATTACAGTATTTCCTATCTTGCAGTTTACCCTTTTCAGTTGTTAGTCGAAATACAGAAAAATTGCCCAAAATTAAATTGTCTTTACTTTTCGAATCTATTACATTGTTCTTCAATTTCTTTCAGAACGTTCTAAAGCTAAGCACCTTCATCCAAGAGTGTGGATAGCTGTTATTGTTCCTGTTGCACTCTCAGTTCTGGTGCTATGTTCCTGTGGTGCTTATTACAGGCTCAGAAACTCAAGAAAGGCACAGCCTTGGATCGATGGGCAGCTAGAACAGATACCAAGAACTACATATCGAGAAATACTTAGAGCAACGGATGGTTTCTCTGAGGATAACTTGGTAGGTACAGGAAGTTTTGGCTCAGTATTTAAAGCGCATTTCCATGGTGAGAATACAATAATGGCAGTGAAAGTGTTGAACCTACAACAAAGAGGTGCCTTGAGGAGCTTCCTGGATGAATGCAGAGCTTTGAGAAATATAAGGCATCGTAATCTTCTCAAAATCAAGACTGCTTGTTCAAGCAGTGTTCACCGAGGTAATGACTTCAAATGCCTAGTTTTTGAGTTCATGACTAACGGAAACCTACACGATTGGTTGCATCCAGAAAATTATGACCAGCAACACCAAACAAAGAAACTGACCTTTATCCAAAGACTAAACATTGTCATAGATGTTGCTTCTGCACTCGACTATCTCCACAACTACTGTCAAACACCAATAGTTCATTGTGATCTAAAACCAAGCAACATACTCCTCGATGAAGATATGTCTGCCCGTGTTGGTGACTTTGGATTAGCAACATTTCTCTTTGACACATCAAGCAATTCTTGGAGTAATCAGATTTCTGCAGCACTAAAGGGTTCAATAGGTTACATCCCAACAGGTACGATGTCCTTAGCTTACATTTTCTATATACATATATCATCCTAAAGAATTTTTTTTACCTTTCATATGCATATATCGTCCTAAAGAAAATTGATTTGGTACCTCGCAGAGTATGGATCAGGTGTTCAAGCATCTACACGTGGAGATGTTTACAGCTATGGAATAGTGTTACTAGAGTTATTCATCTGTAGAAGACCAACCGATCCGATGTTTCACGAGAATTTAGATATTCACAAGTATGTTTCAATGGCTTTGCCTGCACATGTCATGGAAATTATAGACCCTATATTGCTTTTGGCAGAGGAAGAAAAAAACATGATCAAGCAAGATCAATTAGCAACAAGAATGGAAGAATATTTACTCTCAGTTTTGGAAATTGGGCTTACATGTTCTGCATCATCACCAAGAGAGAGAATGCCAATAAACATAGTTTTGAGCAAACTTCAAGCTATCAAAAAGTCCTTCCTTTCAAGGATATGAATTAGATGATGAGTAGGTGAAAGACTAATACCTGTTTTTTTTTTTTTTCATACTTCCTATATTAAACCTTGATGTGAATATTAAACAGTGAACTAGTATATGCCTTTACTAAAATATTGCAATACTCAAGGGCGTAGCTACCCTTAGCCTAGGGTGTCCAATCAGTCGAAATATTACACCGTATTTATAAGTAAAATGATACTTTAAATGGTAATTAAACAACACATTTTGAACACGGTGGTGTTCAATGTAAAAGCTCAAAAATAAACTCATGAATTAAGGTAGTCTGAATTATGTGCCAAGCTTGGCATGAATATATATATAGAGAGAGATAATAACCAGATATTTCAATATACAGATTAATAATGAAAGAATTAGTAATGTTGAGATCATCTTTTTTATGGATTATTTGGCTCATTAAATTTAGATACATAACTCAAACTTATGTTTGATTTAACATTATATAATAGCTTGTAAAAGGGTTTGAATAGATTGTTAAGGGTAGTTTTTCCATTATAAATGATTTATCCATGTATAATTATGGTATTATCCATTTCATATTGATCTTAGTATAATATAAAATAATACATAGATTATTATATAAATTTTCCTAAATTATATATGTTGAAATTGAATTAATAACCAAACAATGCAAGTTTTTGCTCCAGGATCATTTCAGCTAATACAACAAGTGTCTTTATTACTTGTAGCATCATATATCCAAATATGGATCTTCCTATATTGTCTTAAATCTATCCAAAAAATAATAATATAGCACACCCTTACATTTTGATTTTTTGAATGGATGATTGTTACGTATTGTTTCATATTATATTGAATTATATTGTTTTTATCATTTTATGAATACAACATTTGGATAAATTTTATCGTTCTCCGTCGTTACATATGTAATACATCAACAATTTGAATGATAAATCTACAAGAAAAGTAAGGCATGAGGTAGAGGTACTGTGAAAAGGTTGGGTAAAGGATAAAATGTGATTATTAAATAATAAGTAAAAACAAAATGAGAAGAAAATATTAAGATAACGACGCGATCAAACCAAATCGATCGTTACCTAATAATGAATTTAACGATATGATAATAAAATTTAAGTAACAATCAAAATAAATATCATATTTAAACTAATAATGCAATACAATATAATACACCTATTAACAAACCAACCAAACAAAGTGTTAGGTATCATTTGATTGGGTAAGGAACTAACGATTAAAGAAGACTCTTGTTTGATTAAAGAACTAAAGAACTAAAATGGTTTTGCAAAACCACCGTTAAAAAATAATGAATGAATGAGCCTTTTTCTAAACGATAATGGCATAGATGAGTCAAACTTTTAACGGATGGCATAAATGAGCCTTTTCTGAAAGTTCGATGACATATTTGAGCCTTTTCCCATTTTAAAATAAAGGGTAAATATAATTTGTTTAGATATTAATCATTTCATAAAACGTAAAATAAGAATTTTTAAGTTAAATTGTATTACTACTAAATATAGAAGTGTTACATTCTTTTATGGACCGGCTAATAAAGAAAATAGTTGTTTTGTTAGTTTATTTTTAAAAAAAATGTCTCTTTCTTTTTGGCAATTCTTTTTTTAATTTCAGTTTTCTACATTATATGTTCAAGTCCATAAGATTAAAAAAGAATTTGGTATATTTTACCTATCGTCAATTTTATATCATAAATATCAAATAAAAAATAGACAAATAAATTAAAATGAAGTAGATGATAAGAATGACAGATTATACCTATTTATTTTTATCTGTGATTAACTGTTGATGTTAATAAGAGAATGCTACATAGTGAACTTGTTGCCCAGAATGTAGGGATGACAATGGGGCGGGGCGGGCGAATTTAAGGTTGTGTGAGGCGGGTTGAAGTGGGTTTATATAAAATTAATGTGGGGGGGGGGGGGAGGGGGTTGTGGGTATATGTGATTTTATGTGGGTTTAAATTTTTTTTTAATTTTTTACATGTTATAATAAGAGTGATAGAACATTATTTATTTAAGATAATTTCTTTTAAAGCTACTAATATATTCAAGATAGTAAATGAAAATGATTCAATAAAAAATAATTCAATTTCTTACATGTTTACCAATAGACCTCTAAAAAATAAAATTATAAGTCACTATGCTATTAAATTAATACAACTTAATGAAAAAATGAATTTATTTTTATTAATTTTATTTTTAGTATCAAACTTAACTAGAAAAAGAAAATATTAAAAAAAGTATGCGGGGCAGGTTCATACGGAGCGGGTGTATGCGGGGCGGGTTGAAAATAATAAATAATGTTATGCGGGGCGAGGCGAGGCGGTTTTGTGGGTTAAGCTCAACCCCCCCCACTCCGCACCACCCCATTGCCATCCCTACCAGAATGCTACATATTTGTTTCGGTTTGGTATTTAAAAAAAAACTCGATCATAATTGATACAAAATCAAATCAACTCGACATTATATGTATATAAGTTTTAAAATTACTTTATATATAAAATATTTATAGGAGTATAATTAATAAATATTTTTTGATTTTTTATATAGTTTTTTGAATTTTAACGTATTATTTGAATCTTGGTCTTTAATTTTTAGGATGATCTTATAAGTTTTATAGTTCATAAATAAAGCTCAAAATCAAACCATAATCAATATTATCAGCAACAAAAAAAAATATTCAACTCTAGGAATAACAGTAGTCTTGGATCTATTTTTTAGTTTTGCATTGATGTTGTAAAGTATAACTAGGACTAGTGTTTAGTCATGAAATTAATAGTACTAATTAAAATGATGACTAATTTAATTAGTACCTTTTACATTACGTTCATTTTCATTATAATTTATTAGATAATATTATATTATATTATATTATATGATTTCATTATCTTTATTGTTGAATATATATATGTTATTATAATGACATGACTAAGGACCCCCTAAGTCTTGAATAAAGAAAATGACATTTCATTCATTTATTTATTTTTTCTTTTTATATTCTTGTCGTTAGTTTGAAATTAAGGAAATGACGTTCATCGAAGAAGATTGATTACCGACTAATTAAAAATTTATTAATTAAGGCACCCACTTATTAAGGGTAGTAATTTGAGGATGAAAATAGATCACGTACAGCTAACCACAGAATTTATTGGACTAAAAATTCCTTTATATTTTTTGTTTCAATTATGAATGACATCGTTTAATGTATTTGTCCCATATTTAATACTCCCTCCATTTTAATTAATTTATCTGATTTTGTTTTGACACAAATTTTAAAAAGAAAGTTTTTTTAAAGATTTTATGATGCTGCCTACTTTGTCAAATGTGAGAAGTTGAAATAAATAAGTTGTCAAAAAAGAAAAGAGATATTCTTTTGATACAACTAAAAAAGAAAGTAAAACAAACAAATTATAATAGAGAAAATAGCCACTATCTACGCAAAAGAACAAACTCTATTATTGTTTCATTTCTTTTCATGCTAATGTACTTAAATCATACTCATATCTTTAAAATATGTCTCTATATCCTGTTTAGTATTTTATTTTGTGCTAAACTCACTTATATGATTATACTGAGTATGTTATTGAATATTTTACTTTGTATCATGAGATACTAAACTCTCAACTATTTTAGTACAAAAAGGAAATCGCCAAGTGCTGCTAGTCGTTGTTTTGTTCCATAAACAACAGAATTTATTTATTTTATCTAGTGTTCAGTAATTGCATTGGAGTCCTACTATTCTGGATACACACCACATAGAACACATCATTTAAGGAAAGCGCTCCCTATTTAAAAAAAATTATACTCAAAACTCAAACCTGAGACATCTGATTAAGGAAAAAGCATCCGTTGCACCACATCCATAGGTGGGAAGAGAAATGTTGATCATATGAATTTTTTTCAAAAAACATGACGTTAATTAGTTTAGTGCTAAAATTAGCCCCTTCATAAATTAAACTTGACTGGCACAACTCTATGCAACAAGCCAATTGGTAAAAGATTTGGTCACTCTCGAACAAATTTTGCATTTATTAGCATTTATACATATTAGTTGGAACTTGGAAGTATCTTGAAAATTATTGTATCATGATTCAGATTATTAGAAAATGAAAGCTTATATTATCTCTTCTTATAAGCAAGAAACATCAACTAGTAACTTATTCAGGCAGGTATTTTGAGGATGAAAATAGGCATACAGCTAACCACGGAATGGGATATTTGGACTAAAAATTCCTTTATCTTTCATGTTTCAATTATGACTGACATGGTTTAATGTATTACTCCCATATTAAATACACCAGTAACCGGTACCAGGTAACTCTATTCACCAAGGCAAGAACAGACGAGAAGAATCACCTAGTGTTTTTGTCTCTGCTAGAATTTAAACTTGAGAGACCTCATAGCTCTCAAACCATTTTATTCACCACTAGGACATACCCTTGAGGTGATGCTAGTCATTTTATTTTTTTTACCGTGGTATTCGGGTCAGCTTTCGCGCACCTCGATTAATATCACGGGATACTTGCCACCTGTCACCTCCCACCAGCAACAAGTACCAAGTAGCTTTGTCCACTAAGGCTATGACAGATGAGAAGAATCACCTAATATTTTTTTAAATCTCCATTGAATTTTAAACCTGAGACCTCAGAGTTCTCACCTAGTTGTTATTTTGTTCAGTAAACAAGGGACATGTTGATCTCATACATGAAAGGGAAGCTGTCATATGAATTTTTTTCTAAAAATATGACGTTAGTTTTGTGCTAAAATTAGCCCATTCATGAAAACTTGACTGGCACAACAATATGCAACAAGCCAATTGGTAAAAAGGTTTTGTCACTCTCAGTCTATCCAACAAGTTTGCATTTATTAGCATTTATACATGTTAGTTGGAACTTGAAAGAGCCCTGAAAATTATTGCATGATTCAGATTATTATTATAAGATAAGGAAAGTTTACATTCTTTCTTCTTACAAGCAAAATACAGCAACTATCTAGTCTCTAAAAAATCTAGCACAAATGAGGCAGTGGTATCTAACATCCAATTCCATATGGCTTTTGTTGTTATACTTCCAGTACTCAATTATTGTGATGTCCATT